ATAGTTCGCGAACGACTCGTCGAAAAGGATTCCGCCCCCTTTTGTACATACTCTCGAGGATTTTCAAAGGCGAACCTCGATCGGGGATCCACGGTGCCGCGTAGCATTTAGAATTTAAGAGAACAAGACAAGAAACGGGTCAGAAATTTCTGCAGCGTGGGTTACAACCCTCCAGTCGCATTAATATTAAACGAACGTCTTGGTGGCTGGAATAGAAGGAGCGGCAGTACCGATCTACACAGACGAAGTCTCCTTTCGACCTGCCCGTCCAGACATTACTCTTTCTCTTTCGGCTAACCGCTGCGCCGCGCCGGTTGCTCGAATTATCAAAGAAGTTTTCCTCGAGAGTCGCGAGATTATTCGATGCACGCAGATCTCCGATGGACGATTTCGTACTTTATTCCAATTTAATTTAATTGTAATCTATTCAAACGCACGAGGGAACAAGTGATCTGATCGACGAGAAATCAAAAATTCCGGCGATCGAAAATTGTATGGATACTTGTGTAGAAATAGGATTTGAGCAGTAATCAATTATTTTGTAACGGTTTCAATTATTTCGTTTCTGTAATCGATTATTAAATGGCAATCACAGTAATCGTGATCATTAATCAATTAATCGTTGTTAAAATAAATCGGTGATCTTGATTAATTTTTTAAATTTGTAATTATTAATCGGTAATTTTCTAAAGTAATTTTTTGAAGTTAAGTGTAATGTTTAACGTAATCTTCAAATTGTTATAACATGTTTAAACGTTCAAACGTGTCAATCACATAGGGTTGTGCTATTCGATTTGACTAAATGTCGTTATTAAGCTTGCACTATTACATCAAAACTAGAGAGAATATTCACGCGTATTTTTCTGCCGCATAATACATATCTGTGTTGAATTTATTAAAATTTATAATTCTCTGTTATATTTTTGATATAAGACTCGTTTGGAGTTGCGTATCATGACGAAAAATGTCAAAACTTTGATCATTCGATAAGTTTATCGTTCAAGTTATCAAGTTCATTTTTATCAAATTAAACAGAAGAAGATCGTGCCAATAAAGAATGGTCCATTTAATTTAATTTATTCTTAATTTTAACGTTGCGTAAGTGTAATGACAAAATTTTCTAAACTTTTATACAATTTCTTTTAATTTTTTCATTTCGTTCACTTTCGTTCTTTGAACTTTCTTCTATTTGCCACTATGCGACTATTTAAGAATGATAACCGAGAGAAATAATGTTTANGTTGAAAGCATTTCTTCGAAATATTTAAAGGACTTATTAATATTTAACATAAAGTTATTTTAAAATTCGGATAAAATAATTATTCAGTTTAAAGTAGCTTCCAATTATTAAGAAAAAAAGAAAAAAAAAAAGAAAAAACCAACATTACACGGTGTTCCCAAGCGGTCACCCATCTAAGTACTACCCGTGCCCAGCACTGCTTAAACTTTCGTGATCGGACGAGAACGAGTTTATTCAGTCCGGTATGAACGTTGGTCGAGAAAAGTGTCTTATTGTTCAAGTTTTGTGGATCTTCTAATTTAATTTATTTTTAATTTTAATGTTGTATGAGTACAATGATACAATTTTCTACATTTTTATACGATTTCTCTTAATTTTTTTCATTTCGTTCATTTTTATTCTTTGAACTTTCTTCTGTTTGAAAATTTTCTTCTAATTGGGTAGTAATCGATTACTTTGTAATCATTGCTGTGATCAATTACCAAAATTGCAATCAGAATCATTAATCAATTAATCACTGTCAAAATAAATCGATAAATTTGATTAATTTTTGTAATGTTTAATCACTAGTCGATAATTTTTAAAATATTATTAAGAGATTGATTTATATTTTATTATTGTAACTTAATTGTAACTTATATTCGATATAACTAAATATTGTTATTAAATCACTTTCAGTTTGAGTAATAGTCACACTATTACGCGTATTCTTTTGCTGGGTAATAGTATCTGTATTTTACTGTGATTTAAAATAATTCGTTAAAGTTTACAATTCTCAGATATATTTTTGGTATAAGAGTCATGCGCATCATGATGATGAATCTCAAAATTTTAATCATTTGGCAAGTTTATCTTCAAAGTTCATCTTGAAAGTTCATCTTCAAGTTGAAGATTATATCAATAACGATTCAAGGACTGTATACAGTGGGTGTAAAAATTATTCGTACGGTGACTAATCACGACTAAAATGCTGAATAATAATATTTATTAAACAATATGTTTTAAACAAACATGGTACATCTATTCGCCAAAGTCTGTAGAACAACAATATCAAATGAACAAAAAAAATATTCATTGTTTATATAAATATTGTTTATATAGATACCAAGAAAAATGAACAAAACGTCAGAAATGAACGCGTAGCATTCATACAGTTCTATAGTCATTATCAAGTGTACAAGTAATTTAAACATTTATAATAGAAACAACAAATAACTGTGAAATTAATATTTATAATTAGTATTTAGTAGGGTTTTCAATTTTATTATTGCCTTCTAGGTATTAAATTAACCAAATTAGATGTGATATTATTCTATTCGTTGATTAAAGCATTTTTTAAGTTTGTTTTAGATGAAATTGTATGTTTTCGAATTGCTCGTTTCAGATAATCCCACAAATGTTCAATAGGGTTAATATTTGATGATTGCGGGGGTGTTTTTAAATGATTATTGATAATCAGTAATTATGATTAATATTTTAATTTTACATTAATTAACGAGATTACGTTTTGTCCAACTCTGAATGGAATGGATATCGAAGAGATTAAATTCGAATTAAATAACATCATAAAATTAATCACAGAAAAGGAAAAGGAAAAGGAAAAAGAAAATATTGGGTGCATTTCTTACTATTATTTCTTTCCAATGGGATGTTTTTGACTTACCAGTTGACTTAATCGTTGCAATATAAATCCCAAATCATGCTTTGCGATTCAATTTCTGAAATAAATTTTTAGAAACAAAAATTTCCAAAATAAATTTTTTTTTTTACGATTTGAAATTCATTGTGACTTCTTATATATCGTCTGATCTATCAGAAAGTCCTCTATCGCGTGAACGCTTGCATTTGATTCAATACTCATTTGTCACGGAGATGACTTTGGTGTCGTCGGCAACCCGCCAACCCAATATAAATATAAGACTCTATATATTCTCTTGAATCTAGCGGTCGTGTGTAACTCTTGAATTATGAATAGGAAAGAGAATAAAACAGTGGTGTGATACGATATTTTCATTTAAATATTTTACAAGCTTCTTTTTAGAACTAAAGAAACAAAAATCCAAGTAGCTGTTTGAAAAAAATTAGTTATATAAATCTTATGTAGAGCATTGAAATTTGTAGGTATGTAAAGAATCTAAAAAATTGACTGAGGTGGAAAATTTAATTAATTAATTCAAGAATGTTTCGATAACATAAATGACTAAATAGGTACATTATGTCGTTAAGTTTTTCCTTATTGCCGAATGATAAGCATGTTAAAACGACTTACAACAGGACTATGATTCAGATAGGCCATAGTGTTGATAGTTGACAGATTTATACGCTAGTTATATGAGATCTTTTCTATACAAGATCTTTTTAACAGCAAACGATTGTTTCAAATGTAGAAATACACAAAGTGATCATAGTAATTGACGTGCTAGGTACTGTAAATATGGAATGAAAAATGGACACGAATCCCATTAATAAAATCCAGGAATCTATTCAAGATGATTAAATTAAGAATATTGTCAAACGTTACTCTCTCTCTTGTATCTACGTTTGATCTCGTTACTCCTCTTTTTTTTTGTTTTTTTGTTTTTGCATAGAAGAAACAGCGATCGGTGAACCAATTGATGGAAATAAAATGCACGTTAGCTCATTAATGCACGCTGCGTATTGTACATACGGGTTCGTTGTATCTCACAGCGGTATTCTCCGCATTTCCTTTCATCTTTGTTTTAATCCGGGCTCGCCTGTTGATTTCGACTGAATACATTTCGATCAATTTTGCTACACCGTTTGTTGTTCTACGTGGTAATTACACGTGAGGACTTATTATTCCCCGTTCTGCACTTGATCACACATCCGGCGTGAAAACCCCGATTTTGAAGCGACGACAAAATACACAGTAATCAGCTTGTTGATCTGTTCGTAATTAATTGTACTTGCGTCAGAGAAAAATGGTCATGGATCGAATTAACTGGATGGTGAAGTTGACGACGATCGAGAGTAATAAAAGGAAGATATTCTTGCATCGTTGTTTATAAGAATATTTGATAAAATAACTCTTCTGTTCGATCCTCAAACACCAATCGACGAAACGCAGGTACAACGGTAAAAAGGAATTACAAAAGTCAAAGAGCAAATTGCACGAAACGTATAGATTGGGAAAGTTCGCTTCTCCATCGGAACTCGTGTGTTAGGTTCTTCGTAACTAAAGAGGAGACTAATCGAAGCAACTACGATCGAATGACTCCGATTCCAAAGCAATCGACCGTGTTTTAGAATGGTCTCCCTTCCATCCCGTTTTATTCGATCTTTGGCGAAGGTATTCCCACGAAAATCCTTGCACGTTTCTCTATTTCCTACTTTTCTTTTTTTTTTTTTTTTNTTTTTTTCGTCATGAGAGCTCGTACTAAGACCAAGATTTTTACCACGCCGTATATATAACTTTCCGGAGTCGAAGAGATCGTTGCCGATTATTTGCTACGCAGATCTTCGCTGAATTTCGAGGGAGGGATTTTTCCGCGAGTGCACCGCCACGAGCACGTATATTATTCGTGGTCACGCGAAGTCCGAAGCGAAATAGTCGAACGTCACGAGACGTCTGGCCTGTCCCGGAAGCACGGGCACGGATTCCTCTTCAAAGTTTTACCGGATAATAGCTTTAATCAACGAGCGCAGACACAAGGTCCCGGAGTGGAACCAGACGGAGAGAATATACGCGTGTATATATTTTATTTTCTCCCCTACGACTTTTTTAGCTTCTCGTTTTTACCTGTAATTTCAGTGTCCTTCGCCAGGCGAGCATTTGATGCGCCTGTGCCCTCTGCCTCGCTCGAAGGGCGGCTATCACCGATTTCGCCTCTTCCAGCGATGTCACCTCTACCTCGTTGCCATCCTTGGACGTGAAATCGTTTCCCCTTGCCTCCGTGATCGCTGCCAAAGGACAGCTATCCATCGACGTCTCGTCGAAGCTGAAATCAGAATACCAGGGATGATTATCTTTGTACGTCAAAATCGTACGAAAATCCAGGGACCGAAAATAATAACAGTTGTCGCAGGAATCTTTATGAAAAGAATTTAAGGGAGAACTAAAACTCCAAGTTTATTATTTATTATTTACGTCAAAGGCGGCGAACTTCTTTTCCGCCGCGGGCCTCACAAGTCTACCATGGTTCCTCCACCATGAAAATTAGTTTTCACTCATTTTGTCCCGTATAAAAACTATTTTTTTCGCTATCTTCCTTTAACCTCACGCGCTGGCTCAACTGATTGCGGACCATAACGAGCGACCAAATCGTATACAATAATTCGTCGATTTCTTTTTGAACTCGAAATTATCGAGAAGTAATAAGTTTAGTCTTTGTTTCTCATGGGTTATACTCAGCACATTGTGGACGACAGACGTTAATTCGCTGTTTTCAACTGTTGCGGACGGGAGACGAAATTTTCTCGTTTCTCGTGTTTCAACGTTGCGGACGGGCAATGATATTTTGCGTTGTAGGAGACACGACCTAAGCAACTTTGTATACAATTTATATTATATAATATTATATACAATATATAATTATCTATTATAATGATATATAATTTTTCAAAAAGTAGGGAAATTGTTTCCTAACAGACCACACCAAGAAACGTTACTAGAGGCATTTTCATTTTATTTAATAAAATACCTCTAAAATGAAAAATAATTAATAATTTTAATTATTAATAAAATAATACACTTGTTAAATGCTATACATTCTCTCGAACTCTTTCAATCATATATTAAATAATTTAAAAGATACCAGAAAGTACAGGCTATATGTTTATCTGAGCATACCGTCCTCAATGTGTTAAATATAAATACAGAGTAAATAATAAAGTTAAAATCTAAAATACATAATAAATAGATTCTTAAGTATTACTATAAAAAATATATACTTTATCAACGTGAATTAAAGAGGTGCGTATATGCATTGTACAAAGTTTCCTTGTTGTCTCCAAAAATGTGCGGGTTGCGCGCGCCGAGTGCGGTACGAAATATGTTAAAACTGAGAAAATATTGCAATTTTGGGACAAAAAGTTCTCGACGTGCGTGGCATGTAATTCCAGCGCAAGAGGATAACTTAGCAGCTGCAGCAAAGAAAACAATTTATATTATACATATATACCTAACGCGAGTATCGTGGCCGCGACACTCTAAACGCAGTGGAGAAATTGATGCAGTAGAGGGGAGCGCTAGCGATCAGAAAAATGGGAGAATAAGGGCCGCTAGTTAGCCACCTCTGATTTACAACGATATTAGCCTTGAAATAGATCGGTGACATTAGCCTTGAAAAGAATTTTTTCATAAAACTGCAGGATTAAAACATTAAACATTTTCGTTACAAATAACGATTAAACGAGTGAAGTTTTATAACCATTATTGACGAGCGGAATTCTATTTCGATTGCTTATAATAGTTATCGATGAGAACTTCATTTCGGTCATTCATCATATCGTAAACTCTAAAGTATTATTAAAGTAAACGTTATTATTAAAGTAAACATTCGATCGAAGCAATTATTAATTACATTAAAATATCTTAAAAATCGTAGAGTTACTTTCCTATGTAAATCTCGTGGAAATCAACGAAGAAAGAGAGCAACGATATGAATTCATCATTACCAGCCATGGTGAACAGAGTTTCTCTTTTCCACAGACCTGTTGTAAATAATCGAAATAAACTTCTCTCGTCCATAATGAGAAACATTTTTCTTAAAACGTGCAATCGTTTATCTGCAATTGTAAATAACGATTTATTCTTTCCATTGTAATAGTCAAGATTCCTGTTGAAAATGCCGCGAGTGGTTTCTCGTCCCGCGATCGACTTCGGAAAGAAACGCGAATGCCCGTAACAAGAAAACTGTCTCTCCCCGTCACAGTGCACGTTAGAATTGCAATATAAGAATTTCGATACGAAGCGCGATTGGCAAAACCTTCCACTTATCAGATTGGTAATCGATTTCGCGGATGTAGACAATCGAGGGAGATCATCGGATGGTATTGAAATCGCGAGTCGATAACCGGTAAATATTTAAACGGCTATGGAAAGTGTGCATCCCTGAGAATAGCGGGGCCATGTCGGAACGAGGATTTTCTCGAGTACCGGGCGCTGCGGATTCCTTTGATAACCGAGTCTTTCAGGCTCGAATAAACGAGACCGAGGCTGACGTTCGAAAGCGAATTGACCGACTCGTTTTATCCGTCGTCCAGCTCGGAGTGAAATTTAATAAGAACCGCAAGGATTCACCGCGGCCGTATGCCAACCGGCCGTATTGGATACCTAGAAACGATTCAGCGGCGCAACTGCGAAACTCTCGCGTCTTCCGTGACCGCCGAGAGTCGGTTTGCTCTCTCGGCGGATCTACGAGCCACTTTGTAAATTCGCATACATTACGCTCTCTCAAATGAATTTTCTATAACTCCTCGCTCCGCGCGCGCGCGCGCGCTCTCTCTCTCTCTCTCTTTTCGTGATTTATGCGAAATCTTATATCCTTTATTTCTGTGGGAGTATTAATTCTCGTTCAACAGAGGCCGAGCCATTAGACGTCGGAGAATTCAAAAAGCAAACAGCTTGCTGGAAGAATTTATGACCGCGAGAATTTACGACGTTCCAAAAAGAAATAAAAAAAATAAAGAAAAAATGCGATTTTAACGAGTTTCTCTTGATAAAATTTTGCCTGCCGTGCTTCGAAAGTTTGTTCCCGCTTTTTTTCTTCCACCGCGAAACGGAAGTTTCTCGAGGTTCGTGTCAAGCTGATTGCATTTATCTCATAATTTATTTACGAAAGGCAACAAATTTGAAATCGCCATCAAGTGCGCGCGAAAATTGATTTTTATACGCTGCCAAGAATTCTGACACGATTGGAATTAATTCTTCATCGTTCTGTTTTTCGGTTATATTTCTCGTGTTATAATTTACAGATGGGGACGAAAGTATTCCGCAGACACTCGATGAAGAATTGTGTGAAGAAAAGTGTTCGTTGGTTTCTATCGAAGATCTTTTTTACGTCATATAGCAAATGGAAAAGCAAAGATTCGTTCTCGAGAATTGTAAAAATAACTCTGAAAACATTAAAACGTTTTTTCTCTGGATCTGGAAGATTTTACAACGATTTCTTACAACATTTCTTCTCGCCATTAAGATCAAACGACAGAGTGTCAGGATTTCTTGAATTTTTCGAAATTCTGATGTTCAAAGTTCAACAAAATGGCAAAAAAGAATCGTGCAGTAGATTCTAAAGGTGAAAGAAATAAGAAAAATTTTTTAATGATTTCGAAAGCGTTACAATTTCCACTCGCTACATAATGAAGCACAAACTTTGGAAAAAAAGATGTCAAGGTTCGTAGAGGTTTCGCGCTTTGAAACCCAACCGGATTTTCGTACGATTTAGTTTCGTGAAATTTAAACAGTTTAAAATACCGATAATTTTTCATCGAGTATTTTCGTTCATTTCTATACATAAACCGTGTCAAATAATGTATCGGGAACAACATTTCGAGAACACACTCCATAATTCATTCGACTATTCGTATTCGAAATTTCTGCTTGCAAGAGTATATTGCAACGATTTCAAGCATGATCGATACGCAAGCGTCACGAAGTCACAGCAGGCGGAGTAACATGTTATTCATAATTTTAGCCATCGTTTGCACGAAACAGGCTCGATGTATTTGTGGAAAATGTTGCTTTTTCTGCACGCGAGGCCCGACTTCCATTCGCTAATTAAGTTGAGATAAATTATGCATGAGTCACCGACTGAGTCACTCGCCACGGTTGATGTTTCCTTTCTGTTGGCGACGATCGATCCTCTCGAGCTTTGGCCATCTACTGCACTGTATTTTGCACGACACACGCGAATTCAGGTGCAAGCCAAGAAAAACGCGCCGACTCACGCCATTCTCCGCTCCATTAAGCACCATGCTTATTTGCTAAATATCTCCCGTTCAGTCGTTCGTATTTCATTCTCTTTTGAATATGAATAATAACTTTCAATTGTTCCTTGACTCTTGTATCAGACGGCTTGAAAATTCTAACAAAGATGTGCAAATCAAATCAATCGGTCTCGATTACAGGGCGATCGGATTTTGTTTTGTGGAAAAACATTAACAAGCCTTAAATATTTATAATTCTATTAGGTTCGTTCATTCTATTAGCTTCGCCATCAATGATGAAATTATTGTGTATCATACAGTCGATTATTTTTCACAAATGGATTGAGTAACTTTGGGTCTCGTTTTTTTAATCATTATATTATATTATATTATATATAATATATATAATTATATTATATATAATATAATATAATATTTCGTTATATTATATTATATTTATTTAAAATATAATATTTATTATATTTATAAAAATTGCACGTACATAATGTAGTTTCAATTACTATCTGTGAAGAATATCTTTCTTGTGTTGAAATGATTGACATTTCAATGCCAATAGTACAGTAAATATTTCAATAAATTCAAAATCGTTCATCAATCAATATTTCCTGTAATAATAAAATGATTCTTTTAACATTTTCAACATTGTAATTTTAAACTTGATATTTTCTGTAATAATAAAATGATTCTTTTAGCATTTTCAACATTGTATATTTTACATTTAAATTTCATTATATTATATAATTTAATTTCATTGTGCTTGAAATATTTATAATATTCGTTTTCGACGTTTATTCAACTTTCTGGGTTTTCTGAAGAGACGAGCGAATTTATTACGAAACCTGAAAACGTAACATTCCGTTTGCAACTCTTTTCAATCAGTTCATATTATTAAATTCTGCTTCCCAACATTTGGGTCACGAATGTAAATTCCAAAGATTCGCTTGACATTATTTCGTCATTATATCTAAGTGCAACAATTTCAACGAAATTCAAAATAATTGAAAGCATTTGTAACATCAAAATAGGTCAAATTGCTTAAAGGCACCTCGTG